AGATTGTTATTTAATCCGGAGTTGTGATTCCATGGTGTTCATATCTCCTCCATACATATCACATACCTATGGTCTAAAGAGTTGCCTAGGGCACTGATAGGTTAAGTAATTTGCCCATGGTCACACAGTAATATATATCAAAGCCATGACCTGAATCAAGGTCATCCTGATTCCCAAAGGCAGCATCTATCCCTTCCACTGTGCTGTTCTGCTATTGGAGCTCCCAGAGTTCTCTAACCAACCTGTACTGGCATTCTCATTGCAATGTTATATTCAGTTGTGGGGGGAAACAGGAGGAGGGTATCCAGTCAACAGCGCTTGTTGAATTGAACTGGAGAATTCTCAAAATTGAATCTAGAAAATGCTTGTAATTTGCTCTAGCAGCTGGAATGACCTATCCATCTAGACTATGAAATGTATTGGATTGGAAATAATCAAAATTCAACTATCTTTTCCCCAGACATTCTTTCCTATAAGGGCAAAACTACAGGCCTCTGGCACTGATGAGATTTTCAGAGATTCATTCCTGTGCCTCCAGTTGAAAGGATGTCCGGACATTCCTCCAATATATATTTAAATATTGCAAATATCACATTTCTGTACTGATTGGAATAAAGCATTGTACTGGCCCACTTCTTCCTAATTGTGTCAGTCCTAACATAATTTAGGAATAAGCATTTCATGTATTCCCTGGTTATGCCTAACTGCCATATCCAACAGAATGCCTTGTATATGCAATGCAGAATACAGACCTCAGATTAAGAACAACACATCAACACATACCCAGATTTCACAGGCCCAGGAACAACTCAAATACAGTTAATGCTGAGACCTGATACAAGTTGAACTTCGCATGAGAATCACGTACAGATCTACCAATGACAGGAAATGTAATCTAGATAATACCATAAAAACCATACTAATACACTGACCTAGGTGAGGATGTTTGAAGAAACCAGAAAATGATTCATTTCCACCAAGTTTACTGTATGAAAGGGAAATGGGAAATGGGAAATGTGTTCAGGGCTTGCTTGTTCTTGCTACTGGAAGGCTAATGATGAATAAGGGACAAGGATCACCCATATGCTGCCTATTCCAGGGAATCTTTGTGCAGCACTCAACAAAAAAGGCAAGCCATCACTACCAGGTCTGCAATTTACCAGTGGTTCTGGAAACTTCCAGGCTGGAGGACAGTGAGAGGTAGGTATTGCTTTTGGGCACATAGACAATGACTTAAAACTATTAATGTATATGGCCTCCTAGGAAAAACAAAGAAAAAAAAAAACAAAAACAAACCCTACCCTTGGAGGGAGATAACTTCTAACACCCAAGCTACAAGGAACTGCATTGCTATTAGTACTATGTCCTTTCTTAGGGAGTTTCAGCCTTTCTTATTAATACACATTTCTTCACTTTTGGGTTGCAGCAGCTTATGTATTAGTCCCTGACTGTCATTAGATACCTCCTAAAGTCCAATTTGAAATTCCAAAATGGACTAGTTACTATTTGAGTTCCCTCCCTTCCCCAATTCCAGGTTAATGCCTGCAACTCAACGATCCTGAGAAACTCCTTTCCCATCTCCATTTTCTCCTAAACTTCCCAGAGTCTTTGCGTAATTACTTAGGAACCACATATTACCTGCTCCTCCCCTTCATTCACGTAGCATAGAGGATGGAGCACTGGGTCCAGAGTCAGGAAGCCCACAGTTCAAATCCAGATCAGATTTTGTGATACTGTGATCCAGGGCAAATCACTTAACCTATTTGCCTGTTTCCTCAACTGTAAAATGCAGGTCACAATAGCATCTACTTCTCAGGGTTGTTACATCAAGTGAGAGATTTGTTAAAGCACTTAGCACAGTGCCTGGCACATGTAGTAGAGACTTACTAAATGCATGTTCCTTTCCCTCTGCCTGTCCCCCACCTTTCCCTTTTCATGACTAGTTTTCCCATCCTGCCAAAATTCCACATAAATGTGATATACGACACTTTCCCTGGCCCACTACCATTCCCCTCACCACCCAGGCTTTCACCTGCTATGCTTTTTTACCATTCTATTAGGCAGCTAAAGCCTACACTGGTTTTTATAAGTTATGAAAACCACAACTGACCCCTTAAAAGTCACTGGTGATCTTGAACTTTAGACAATAACCTGTTGCTTCTAGCTTTGTGCCATATAGTTATGCGAAATTCTTTTAGGAAGAAATAAGGCGATAAGACCATTGCAACTATGTAACAAGAAGTGATAATATAAGAATGAGAAGACAGTTCTCCTTCCATTTTGGCTGTTCCTTAAATTGTAGCAAAAGGAGAAACACATTAAAGTATTAAGGTTTTATTAGTTTTTTTCAAAAGCCCCATAGCCGAAGATTCTTGTCAATGCCATGACTGAGAGCTAAAAAGTGGCACTTTATTACAGTAGTATGCTGTAATCAATAGGGTTCTGGGTTGAAAGCTTGCTTACAAGACTTGCTAAATTATATGTACCGGGGCAAATTACTTCATTTCTCTGACACTCAGTTACTCCACCTCTAAGATGGGGAAGAATGCCTGTAGTACTTACCTACAGAGTTGTGGTGGGGTTCAAATGAAATCATGTACTTTGCAAACCTTAAAGCTGTATGTCAGGTCTTATTAACTGCCAAAACAGGCTTTTGTCCTATTAATAGTATCCAATACACATTCGATAATTGACTCACTCATTTAATTAGATAACTCTAGAATATTCCTATCATATATTCTAAAAAGCAGTAGAGATAAGCTGTGTCACCATAGGCAAATCACCTAACCTGAACCTCATTTTTCTTATCTGTAAAATGGGGATGATAGCTATAGTACTCATCTCTCAGGATTGTTAAGTCAAAGAAAATAATGTTCTGTAAATCTTAAAAGCACTACACAAATGACAATATTACATAAGCCACTGTCACATAAAATTTACCATACTGCATGTCTCTTGAAAGATAATGCACAAATACATTAAAAGATTTTTAGTTGAGACCTCTGTATGTAATAGTTTTGTTAAGTCTTGCCTTTGGTTTCATAAGGGAACCCATTGTAATTCCCCTTGTTTTAAGCATTTTGGGGTGACTTGGCCTCCTACTTCTGAGGCTGATCAATCCAGAGGGGTTTGGGCATGGCTTACTGTCTGGAATTGCTGGTCCATCTCCACTGGCTTCCCCTAGATCTCCCTGTCCTCTGGGATTCTCTCCCTTCCCTCTACCTCCATGTAACCCTAACCCATATTTTTGCTCAAAAACACTTATCACATATTTTGTTAACATATTTGATATTGACATTTTATGTTTGTAATAATTTGCCCTTCTTTTTCAGACATCTTAGAAACTTAGGTGTCTCTTGTTGCTTTTATATCTAGTTAGAATTCTGTCACTGGAACAGATCCTCTTCATTAACAGGTTAAGTTTTACTACGCTAGCAAAACATTAAGAGTCTGCATTTTGCTCTGATGACTCAAAAGCAGAGAGAAGCAATCTCATTAATTTCCACTTGGGTAGGGGCTTATTTTATGTAGTTCATAATAAAGCAAAATGGTCCTAATAGCATCATAGGATTTTAGAGCTGGAAGGGACATCCATATGAAGATCAGTTGAAGATAGGGGATATGCAGCTTGGAGGAAAACACAAAACCTTGGGGAGGGGGTCGCGGAGAGAGATACAATAATTGTGCTCCAGTGTTGGAAGGACTGTCATAGGAAGGGCTGAATCAGGAGCAAAGGGTGGAAGCTAGAGAGAGTCTGGAGTCAGGAAGAAATCTCTAATGATTGGAGCTGTCCAAAAGTGGAGTGGCCTGACTCCAGAGGGGAAAGGTGCTCCCTCCTTGGCAGCCTTTAAGCAGAAGTTGGATGATGACCACTCACCAGGTGTGCTATGATGGTGATTTCTTTGATTAGCTGGACTAGATAGTTGGACTGCAGTCCCTTCCAATTCTCAAATTTTGTGGGACCTTTCAAGTCATCTACTTTACTCCATCATTTTACAGATGTATAAACTGGGACGGGCTCTGAATAGTTCTCCAAACTTAAACAGGACCTATTTGGTCACTTTTAGAAAGGAACAACTATATATAAATATGGAATAGTAACAAAGGATCCTTGCAAAGTCTGGACAATGTTCTTACTCAACCATGCTGCTCTGGCAATGTTGCAATTACTTAAATCGGATTCATGTGGGTGTACGCATATATATTAAAATTATTACTTACCATACTACATGAAAAACGTTTTCATGTTGAAACCACTCTGCAGAAAAAGTTTTTTATACTACTCAAATCTCAGCTCAAGATGGATACTTATCTTTTCCACTGCATCCAAAGAAGAAAATGAACATGGCACACTTCTGACCTTAGAAAGCCCCTTCTTAACATTACCCCAGACTGTGTTTAAATATTGGTAATAATTTTGCTCTAGGTAAGCAAACTTACTTAAACTTGCCTGACAGAAATGACATAGAAGAGTTTAAAGCAACATAATGTTTTGAGGAAATTTGATTCTGAAATATGGATTGTTTAGTCAAATGAATATCACGGAGAGTGAGGCTTACTACTGACTCAAACTATGCCAATAAAAAAGATTTACAGTTGGTTCAGGTTCAGATCAGCTGGCTTGTGAAGAAACTACTTAGTAATGTCACCCAAAGGGTGAGTTTTCCATGGCATGCAACTAAGAGTAAATGAAAACGACAATGAAGGAGGAAGAAGCAACTGATTAGCAAGGATGAGAGAATTCAAAAGACCCATGGAAAAGTCTGTTTCCGAGTCTTAGCTTTCTTTTCTGTCTACATGTACCATGTCATCCCTTTTTCCTACCACTACAATCTTACCTAGTTATAATCTCTCTAGATTGTCATTGATTTCTCTCCACTTTGACACTCTCAATAAAATCTAACTGGAGTTATTGAGACCTGAAAGTTCTGGAAAAATAAAGAACTACGAAAAGGGGTAATTTATAATTTATGCCTCGAAGGATAATGAGAGTCTTTACACAGTGTTGAAATGAATATACTTGGGTCATTCAATAATTAATACATCAAAAAACAAAATTAACACATATACTTCTGGTGACACGCACTTTGTGGCTGGCTCAAAATAAGTGAATTAATGAAATGATCAAACTAGGAACTTTAGAAAACAAAAGTAAGTAGTTCATAATTAACTCATTTCATACCAACACTTAATTACACATTGGTCCAAATATAGGCCACCTTTATAAAATTAGATCTTTTTGAAAGGGAAAAAATTGATATATGCTAAAAAAAAATTGCACAAAATTACTATTAAAAATTACTTCTTTGGGAGAAATCAATTAAAAGTAAATAAAAAAGCATTCTGCCATGTAGAAACATAAAGCATCACAGCAAGTCAGAAGGAACTCAGGAACTGGGAAAATTGAGAATTGCAAACATAGGAAGCTAGGCTTTCCATGGCTGAGAGGAAGCAGCTGCTACAAATAAATCACTCTCAGTTGTCCATTCTTCCCCTATTCCTCTTCCACACACCTCTCCCCCTCCTTTCAGGACAGTCCCATAGCTTGCTGTAAATCCTGCTTCTTATGAACTACTGCTTTCCCTCCCTCTCTTGACTATTTTGCTTCAAACCACTGAACTCTGTAGAACCACCTCTAAACTGCAAGCCAACAGCAGTGACAAAGTAGAACTGCCATAGGACAAAGTACAAGCTTTTTTTTTTTTTTTTTTAAGAAAGAGGGACTCCTACTAGATATCTTCCACTATCTAAATAGTACCCCCTCCAGCCTTGGGGATGTGGGGAAGGGAGGGAGAATTTCTGCAGTAAAATAATTTCTTAAAATTTATACAATGGTAATTTTGTTATAAAGAATCTGAGGTAGCCCATATATCATAATTCACAAACCTGCTCCATTTCAGGGAAAAGAAAAATTCCCTTGTTTTGGACAGAAAGACGGAACACATTTTAAATGGACTCTTTGTTTTAATTCACTCATTTAGGCACCTGCCATTACTAGCAAAAATTCCCAACATACACTATTCTTACTAACTCAGGGGAAACAACTTTCTGCTGTGCTTTATATATTTTTTCCATTCAAATTGGTTTACAAAATATGCTGTATTTTTATACTGTCCAATAAAAGGTACATGATTTAAAACAGATCCTATAGAAATGACATGTTATCAGTAATTTACAATTTAAAAAAATCCAGCCACAAAAAAAATGTCAAAGCTAAAAACAAGATTTTGCTACGAATCAGTGCTTCTATCACCCTTCTGAAAGAGAAGTTATTTTTAATGTGATGTAAAGGCAACATTGAAGATTTTTCTTTAAATTAACCACCTAATTTATCCCTAAAATTACAAAGAATCAAAGTCCCTTTACAGGTCAAGTGCAGTAAACTAGATGTTCTTTCAGCACAAAGCAGCACTAGAAGAAGTAACAGTTGTGGATGGAGTGGACTAGTTTTTCAGGGGCTGCTCCAAGATTAATATACATACACCAGACGTTATTCATCCAAGAGCACAGACACAGGTACAGACTGGATGTGAAGGAAGCATGTGTCACACTTGGAGCTGACAATGTCCACAGTCTTTACATCTCTCCGGTTTGAATGACTTTTTAAAAACGATTTTTAAGTCAGGTCATGTCAGGTGGCTGCTGTTGCCAGTGGCCAATGGTGAATAGCATTACGATGAGGTATGAAAGCTCTGCACATCCCACACACCCAGAAGAGCTCCCCAGGGATGTAGGGAAGCTCATCAACGGTAACTTTTCAAATGGTTTACTTTGGGGTGACTATAAATCCTAGAAAACAAGAAAAAAATCCAAAGCTGCATGAAAGGGCATGTTCAGAAACAGAAGTGAGCAGCTTTCCTTCAGAACCCATTGGCACAGAAGGGCAACAGCAAGTCTTCTCTGATGGCGTCCCAACGTTGTATCCAGATGGCCAACTAGCACTGAGAAGAAACCATACTGAACTGGCGTTGGCATTAAGCTCCTCAGCTTTTCATCCGAAGGTCCAGTTCAAACATGCTGTGGACCAGCTGAGGTACTGTTTGTCGGTACAGATGGGGATCATCATGCACAAAGCAGCACCTCACCAACACAGCCAGATGTACATCAGCACTAATTCAAGGACTGTAGTACTAGTAAGGGGATGGAATAAAATCATCAGTGAAGTTACAAGAAGATCCATGCCCCCTCTTCAATTCAAATAGTACTATGTTGAGATGGTGGGGTTTTTTTTGAGGGGGGGTGGGGGGAAGGAGGACATAAGACGGGGAGCTGTGGTCAGAACTATATTTCACAGCTGGAAGAACCATTAACACTATCCAGTTTTCCTGGTTATTTTCTTATTATTATTATTCCTGGTGTTAATATTAAAACAGATTAAAGATGGTTTAGGCTAAAAGAGTCGTGTTTACAGCATGAATGTGTTAAGATCAAGCTGCCAAGAACAAAAAAAAAAATAATAATCCTCAAGCAATCTTTAAATGGATGTTTTCTGACAGCCACAGAGAGTGAGAGCACCTAGGGAGAACTTCAATACCTTAAGGACCTTGGTCAGGACCACAAAGCCTGAAACATTTCTTCATCAATGTAGAGACACTGCTTCTAGTCACATTGTGTTCAGGTCTGGGGAGATGTCATGTAGGTTTTAATTCTGGGAGTCCTCATAACAGCATTAAAACTGAGCCACTTCCAAATCCTAAAATGTTCATGACCAAAGGGGAGCAACAGCCATATATGCCCCTTTATCCCTTTTCCTCTAAGGGGATCTGCAACCCAGATCGTGGTACTTAGACTTTCTAGAATAAAAATGTCAATTAATTCTTCGTCACTTTTGACAACCAAAAAGCACATTCACCAGAGACTGAAGATGATGGGGGTGCTGATGGCTTACTTTAATATCTGAAGAACTGTATGGATGGGGTGGGGTGGGGAGTTTATCAATCTCAGTAAGGATTAATGCCAATTTGGTTGGAGAAATTCAACAACTAATCCAAGGCGTTACTGTGGAAGAGCATGAGAAAAGAACTCTTAAGTACACACAATGTGTCTACATCTCTTTTGACTTGCAAGCAAGTTGTGTGGAATAAAAGATATATGTTAGTATTATCTTTTGTCAGTATAATTTTTTTTTCCATTTAAAGGGGAACAAAGGGGCAATAATTTTTTTTTTCCAACAAAGGCAAGGATCCATATTAATATAAATGTTCCCACACAACTCTTGTAAAATGTAAATGCCGATGTCCAAAGCCTATGGGGTTTTCCATAAGAGGGTGGGCCATTCTGGTTACCCCTTTGTTAAGAGGGCATTCCACCACAAAGAGCCAGAGGTTTTCCAGATGTGTGTAAGAGAGCAGGTGCGCAAGGCAAGCAAATGAGCGCAAACAGTATTATGGAAAACATTGAGAAATTAGCTCCATGAGGGCTGTGGGCTCCACAAAAGGACTTGATCGAGTAGCCTGATCTGACACAGGAACATTTAAGAACTTTGCTTCAAAGCTGGAAACCTTCCATGGGAGCCTCACACTGCTGGAAAATGTACTGCTGCTGGTCAAGATCAACTGAAGGTGCGATGCTGCTATCTTCATCCTCTGTCCCAAAGTAATGCTCAATGAGATCAAAGGCCTTCTGGTAGATTTCCTGGTTTTCATGACTCTGTAGGAATTCAATTTTATCCAAACCTGCAAGCATGAAATACAACAAAGGTAAATGTAGTTGAGTATAGATTCTATGAAACTATAGAGCCCCCAAAGAAACATATTTACATAATAATGTTTATATAGCACTTCACATTAAAAATGCTTTTCATCCTTATCTGATCCTCACAGCAATTCTGTGAGGTAGGCACCAGAAAAGGAAATAAGCTTTTATTAACTGCCTACTGTGTAACAGACACTGTCGTAAGTGTTTTATAAATATTATCTCATTTGAAAAATACTATTATCCCCATTTTATAGATGAGAAAACGAAGCACAGGAATGGTAACCCAAAGTCACACAGCCAGTTAAGTACAGGAGCTAGGATTTGAACCCAGGTGTTTTGACTCCCAATCCCAAGTTCTCTACCTGAGCTGTCTCTACTATCCTTTATCTAGTAGTTAGTTAAATATATATGAGTTTCATTGGTATAATAAAATACTTATGATCCTTACAACTTAAGAGTTTTTCTTGATCTCTTGAATTATCCATCTAAAAATCATAAAAGAGTAAGTATACTATGCACATAGTTCACTTGATGGTAATCACTCTAGGATGTCACACAACAAAAATTTTATTAAAATCCAGAGCTACCATCTGAGAATAACATACATTTACACAATAGTCCATAATTGCATCTGCCAATAGGTGATTAGATAAAGAAGGAAATGTTCTGTGTCATAATTTCTAACTAAGACTTCTGTTTATCATAACACTCTGTGCTGCTGTAGAGACCAGGAAGCAAAATGAAAAGTAAGTTGAACGGCTGGCCCCACTCCCACTCCCCCACCTCACCCAGGCATACAGTATTACTAAGTGCTATACATTAACCAATCCTGTGCAGACTGGAGGATAACAACATGAACATAAACATAAAATTTTTTTAAATTAAGTTTTATCAAGCCTACATACTTTGAAAAGACATAACCAATATCTGAAAGGACTATCTGCAATATATTTACTACAGGTGATATGTGACATAATATTTCTGGATTTAAAGAACTGTTCAGCAATATGGCTCAGAACCTGTTTTGAGCCACATCTCACAATAGACCCAGGTATACCTGACACCTAGTTAGAACTATCACCAACAGTATCAGGAAATCTTAGAAAATGATCACACTTTCCTAACTGTCATCTTAGGACAGCACAGGATTTAAAGAGGGGAGGGAGTTCAGAGACCATCTAGTCCAAACACTGAGTAGTGCTACGACCCCGAAAAGCTTAAACTATAAGACAGACAATACTGATGACGAGGAATATTAGAAACAAAAAGATTAGCAAAAACAAAACAAAAATAAAGCAGAACTGAACACATACATCGGTAAATGAGTATTTTAACTGTTCGATGTCTTCTATTTCTAAGGGCGATGTCAAGGGTCTGATGTAATGTAGGACTGACAGCTTGACTTTACCAAGTGGACTGGGGCTCTCTGCCTTCTTACTGACCCAATTACTAGAGTTTAAGGGAGTTGTTAAGCTGGCAGGCAAGTGATAGCTATCAGAGGGACCACAATTGTCAGAAAGTAAGGCAGAAAGCAAAGAGCAGGATGAGCTATCCATAACTATAAAAGAGTTCAAGGATAGGGACTGGATCTATGATTTTACTAATCCTAGAACCATTTTATGAAGTGTGAGAAAGAAACTACAGTTAAAAACCTAAGGCAGTCAGGTTAGATTAATCTTGGAAGTGGGTTCAAATTGGCAGAACTAAGAGTTGGCAGATTCTCTTGACTTCCAAATCTTCTCTTCCAGAGGAACAAAGAAAGGCTACACTGGAAGGCAGGTACAGGCTATTCAAACATCCACATTTGGTAAGAAAGCAAGATAGGAAATAAAGGTAGGTTACAGAGTTAAGAAGCTAGCCAGGTAGGAAAATATCAATGAACTGAAGGCAAGGGCTTTCTTGGCTCACATTAATTCTTATCCTATTGCAGAGATTCACTTCTTAATAATATTATCAGCTACTATGCAAGGACACTTGCAACCTGTGTCAAATTTATGCATCACAAATGTGGAAAGGGGACCCATAAAAGGTGAGAGATAGCAACAAAAGCAATTTCAAGGTCATCTAAAGACTAAATGTCTTACCATATGCTTCCTCGATCAATGCACAGTAAGGGTTAATGCCATTGCCATTCCTCTTGGCTTCTTGCTCACCAAGCCTCAGGATGTTTTCTAAGCCATTCAGGGCAACTTGTACAATCTTAGAGTCCATGACTGTGAGGAGATCACAGAGTGGTTTGATACAACCAAGTTCCACTAGGTACCTAAACAACAAAGCAAAAAGCACTTTATTCAAACTAAGAAAGAGCTCAGTTTCTTTACATCATGTGATACCTGCACTAAGGTGGTCTTGTTACTTTAACAGAGATAAAAATAGTCACCTGCCTCAATCAGTCATGCTGCTATTTACCATAAGGAGGATTTGTCTGGATTCTTAGAAGGAAAAAAAATAGAAAAAACAACTAAACATTTTTTCCTTTTCCTGTCATCACTCTGAACTTTATCATTTCTTTACTCCAAGATGTTATTGGAATGGTACTTCTGCAGGAGAAGAGCTGAATAAGGAGAAGGAAACTGTGTAGGTGATTTGGAGGGGTTTGTACTAGTGAAGAGGAAGATTCAAAGCAGGAAAAAAGTATTGTTGGCAAGACAAGACACAGTAAGTAAGAAAAGGTAAGTGAAACAATCAGAGGGTAAAGTAAATTCAAAGAATGAACTGGTGGTGGAGCAGGTTGGTGAAACAAATTTGGGAAGGCTGGTGGAAGAGGGAGGTGGAATATAGCTGTGGAACTGTCAAAACTAAATAAATGAAGAAGTAAATTTCAAAGCTCTCAAGGAGCTTATACTCTCATCAAGGGAGACAACACATTCACACATATATACGTGTGTGTGTGTGTGTGTATATATATATAAAACCTATAAAAAATAAATACAAGGTAGTTTGGGAAGAGAGGGCACTAGCACTTGGAGAGAAATCAGGAAAGGTTTTAGGCAGAAGTAGTACTTGAGCTGAATTTTGAATATATAACATGTGATATACATAATTATACCATTGGATTCTTTCATTGCTTAAAAATGCAAAATAATAATCAAAAGGTGACACTATCTATCTAGGCACCTAGCAGTAGTATTTAATACTCACTGAACTAAAAAAGTTTCCACTACGAGCATAGTCATCTCTTACTATATATCACGCTCACTCATACTTCAAGACTTCTTCAATGTTTTACATGATTGCACATATATAACATGTATCAAACTGTTTACTCTCTTAGGGAGGGGGGAAGTGAGGGAGAGAGAAAATTTGGAACTCAAAATTTTAAAAATGAATATTAAAATGTCTTCATATGTAATTGGAAAAAAAATTGTATTAAAAAAAGACTTCTTCACCACATCCATCTAAGATATTTCCGTTTTTCCTTTCCATCTAGTAACTAGTGTCGCTCAAAAATCTTTTTTTTGGACCACTCTAGCATTGCAGTCTCTCCCTACCCCGAACTTACTCTACTTATTAAGTAAATAACTCATGTGGTTATTATTTTATAACATTATCTCCTACATTTTTGTTATTTATCTTTTTTCATTTTATGTTTCAAGTGTTCATGTTCATTGTCTCCTCATAATATTGTAAGCTCCTTTAGAATAAAGACTTCAAAGCGCCTACAAAGCACTGCACATAGAAGATTCTCAATAAATCTTTTGATTGAATTTAATTTGGCATTGACAGAGAAGACATTTAAAAAAAAACCACAACTAGTAAAAGGAAAGGATTTACCAGTGCTATATGGTACAACTGCAATTAACATCTTTGGAAACCAACTTACTGGACCAGGAAAACAGGAAAGCACAGATCCCTTTAAGCAAAGAAGTTCACTTTTTTTGGATAACAGATTGTTTAACCAAGATATAATGCTACAATTCAGAGAAGAGAATTTGTTCTAATCAGAACTCATGGGATAAACTAACTATATTATAAATACAGAATATGACTGGCTTCAGATCATTATTACTTTTGTCCTAGGCTACCTAGCTCCTAAACTGTGGACTTACTTTCAATCTAAGGAATTTGGAATGATAAAGTCAGGTCAAGATTAAAATCACAACTTTATTACTAAGACCTAAGGGACTATAAATAAAATAAGACAGGCCTTAAAGGCTTTACAAAGATAAGCTTCATTTTCATTATCTTACAGACTGACCCAAATCTTTCCCAAGCTTTCCCCTTGAGTCTCCAGAAAAAGTTAAGTAATCCCTATAGGCATATCCCCTGCATGGATCCCAAACTATGCACTACTAAACTACTAATCCCCTCCTCCTCTCAGGGCTATAAATATGCCAGGAGTTGCAGGGTTTGGACCAGTCCTGGCAGTAGCATTTGTCTAAATGTAGCTGGGAGAAAGCTGAAATGCATATTTAAGTATAGAACTAAGGTGACGATCCCCCAGAAAGCTAAGGCTATTCATTCGTATCTTCTTTTCCATTACCCACTGTTAAATGAATCAACTTATTCATTGCCAAAGACACAGAGGATAGAAACAATGGATAGAAGGGGTAATTTTTTTTAAACTATAAAACACATTCCTACGTGAGTACTTACTTTATCTGTTCGGCTGAACCCCCAGAAGTGGCATTTGTAATAGCCCAAGCAGCTTCTTTCCTTGTCCGAAACTCAGCAGTTTGTAATATGTTAATGAGAGCTGGAAAAATGTTCGCATCTATCACAGTCTACAAGAAAAAATTGCAATGATAAAGATCAGTGATGTCTACAGGAAAATTGCTCCTTAACTATAGACTGAACTTTTAATGCCAACTTCATCAGCTAATTCCTTTTAGCCAAAAAGCATGAGTATCCTTTTTTTCAGCCTTAACCTTCTTCAAACCAATCTAGAACATAACGCTCTGAAATAGTCATTTTTTAGTATTTCCAGGGCCTATCTAGCCTAGTGCCTCATGTGTTATAGGTATCTAATTAATAATTATTGAATTATACTGGGCATGACATTTTTCTCTTCTGGTTCTCTTCCTATCTGTCTTATACTTCCTTTTCATTTATTCATTTCTTGTTCTTCCTATCTCTAAATTAGGGAGGAGAAGGGAAGAAACAGCATTTATATAGTGCCTTTTCTATACCAGGCACTGTGCTAATTTAAGCACTTTTAAATAATATTATTTCATCTGATCTTCACAATCACCATGGGAGGTTGGCGTCAATATTGTCCCCATTTTACAGATGAGGAAACGGGTGAATAGTTGTTAAGTGACTTGACTACAGTCATACAGCTAATGAGCATCTGAGAGAGACTGGTTTGAACTCTCATCTTCCTGACTTCAGGCTGAGTGCTCTATCCACTATATCTCTAGTTGCTTACAAACATTTTCCAATTCAAATAGGCTACAAGGCTCAATTCTTTATTCTTTCCCGTTTATTCTCACTCTTCTTGTTGTTCACTCATTCAGTTGTGTCTGACTCTTTGTGACCCAGTGGACCATAGCATGCCAATATCATCCACGGGATTTTCTTGGCAAAGATACTGGAATGGTTTGCCATTTCCTTCTCCAGTGGACTCTCATTCTACTGCCACATGTTTGATTATCATCTCTATTCATTTTGATGATTTCCAAATCTATGTCTATATCCCTAGACTCTTACATTATTTTCAACACCTTATAAAACGTCTCTACAATCATGTCAAAACTATTAACTTTTCCTTCCCATAACCTTCCAAGCCAAGATCTCACTTTGCACCTAGACTTACTACAATAACCTGATTGGTCTCCCTGCCTCCAATTCACCTTGCATACTACCACCAAAGAATATTCCTAAAATGATGTTTTTATCATGTCATTCCTCTACTTAAGAACTTAAAATGTCATAAAGTTTAAATATCTAAGGCTAACACTCAAGGTTCCTCCATCAACAGGTCCTTTTTTGCCTCTTCAACTGTACCAATATAGACCAGAAGCAGAAACCAGAAAATCATGGATTCCAAGGGTACAATACTGGTCCCCAAGGAAAGTCACAATAGAAAGCCTGAAAGGTCTTGACTTCCAGGGATGATAAGGTAGCCAGTGAGACAATCCCTAAAGGAAGACCAAAATTTCAAGAAACTGGAGCTTTAAACATTAGAAGGTTTCATTATTAAGTGAATGTAGATCTAGTCTCAGAGCAGACCTATAAAAATTTGATCTCCTCTAGTGCCTAACAAATATAAAGCTTCTTGGCCAATGGTTAGTTCTTTTCAAAAGTTACTGGACTCTCTTTACTTGGCAGGTGAGAAGAAAGGAGGTTTAATAAGAAGCACTGAAAAGGACCCCTATTCAAAGATAATATATGTGCCCTCTCAATACAAATACATCCTTCTCTACTGATAAAAAATTACTTTGTGTTAACAAGTTCTTTTTCTAATCCCCTTCATAGCTCCAGAAGATGGAGAAAGGAACAAAGAAAAGGAGATGGGAATGGGTAAAAGATAAAAAGGTAAACTTTGCTAATTTTACATCCTTACTTAGGCATTCAGAACTAACTGAATGCCACTGAATATTATCTACTATGCCACCCTTGATAAGGAATAAGAGCCTTCCTGTAGATATCTGCTCTAAATCTAACTGTTGGTCTAAGAAGCTCTCCTTCTCTCGGATTTTTCCTTCCCTTAATCTTTCCTGACCTAGACTACATCTGAACTGTCTTATCTTTGGTCTAATGCTGAAATCCTACTTGGATACAAGAGACAAATGTAAGAAGCAAATCAATTTATAGAAAAATGACTCTCAAAATTCTCAGAGTAAATTGATCTCAAACATAGGTCCACTAAAGAAAAAATATTTTACTTGGCAAAAATAAAGGCAACCTTTAAAGTATCACAAGTCATCTGGAAGAAATTGGTAAGTACAAAAATGGATAATAAAGGGAGAAAAAGTAGAATCTAAGAATGAATTTCAGAAGATTTAATGTGTTTGACCAAATAAGAACTAGAAAATGAGATAACACTATGAAACTTGGGGTCTTCAGTACAAGAATGAACAAAAACATGTTATATTTATTGTTAGTACTGAAAGAAAAACAATTACATGAGTCGAGGTGGAAGCTGTAAAGGTGATTTCCCTGGTATTACCTGGATCTGAGCCCTGTTTCCAGCTGTGATATTAGATATTGTCCAACAGGCTTCTTTTTTGATAGATTCCTTTGGGCTACTGAGTAAATGCAATAAACTCTGCAGGGCTGAGCAGTTCAAAATTACCTGAAAAAAAGTAGTTTGTAAATGCTTTTATTATAGTAATACGAATACAAGTAATCCCTTAATTTTTAACACTAACCTGGGCAAAATTAGACTTAGGTAAGTTAACTTCTTTTCATTTAGTTTCAGATAATGCTCTTAAAACCAAATATTTCCTCAAACTATTTCAACAAAATATTAACTTTGAATATTAATTATTTCATTGTAACACATTTTCTATTGTTACAGTTATACTTAAGATTCACAAACATGGATTTTACATATGTGAAATAGGAATGCCCCTGAGCATGCTGGCAAACAATATTTATAATTAACATATGAATTAACAATTGAGAACAAGTCATCTGCCCACCCCCGGCACATCAAAACAGAATACAACTGGATGGACAACTTGAGTGGTCACAAAGGTTAGACTATTTTTTTTAAATGGATGGTCAGTCATCATTTGATGCAGGAAAATTAACCCACAAATAAGTCAAACATTATTCAATGCGCACCTAGCACATGCAGTGCATTATGCTGGATCAGGGTTAGGGAACCTGTGACCTTGAGGCCACATGTGGCCTTCTAGGTCCTTGGGCACAGCCTTTTAACTGAGTCCAAGTTTTACAGAACAAATCCTTTTATTAAGGAGATTTGTTCTGGGAAGTTTGAATTCAGTCAAAGGGAAGCACTTGAGGACCTAGAGGGCCACATATGGCCTCAAGGCCACAGGTTCCCTACCCCTATGCTAGATTAAAGTTGAAAGGACATAGGGAGGCAGAGAACATATAAAGCTACACTAAAAGCCAGTCTCTTCTCTCAAAGAATTTACAATATGCCCATGAAAAGTTAAACAGCAATACAAAAGGTTATTACAAAACAACAAACATTTTGAGAAGTGGTCAGAGAAAAAGCAGAAAAGGCAGTATTTACAGTATCATGGGATTTTAGAACTGAAAAATACCTCAGAAATTAGTCCAATCCACTGATTTTATAGATAAAACTAAGGCATCCAAGAGGTAAAGTCACTTGCTCAATGTCATAAAGCACACAGTAGGTTCAGGATCCAAACCTAGGCCTAATTCCCAATTTAACGCTCCTTCCATTATATTTGCTGCTTCTAGGCTTTGAATATGACTAAGATTTCATAGGTAATAAGTGGGAAGGCACTCTATAAAGTGGGAAAGACTGAACAAAGGCAGGGAAATAGGGCAGTGTAGTGTTTTCAGAACAAACTGATCAAACTGGCTTGACTACAAAAGAGGGTTTTTGTAAAGGAATACTGGAAGATAATGTAGAATGACACCAAATCATGAAATGCTGTGAAAGCCAATTTAAGGAATACCACTGGGGAGGGAAAAATTGAAGATAATGGAGCAAAAAGAAATGATGCTGCCATAACCAACTGAGGTACATAATGAGTACTTTTAGCTTAAAAGAGAGGCTAGCTACACAGAGAGTGGCTTATACAAGAATAAAGAACAGCAAAAGATGTAGGCCATCAAAACAGAATTATTAGATATGATGGAAGAAAGTAGCTATCTGCACTAAAACTTAAAACATAATAAACATTAAAGGAAAAATGCTGGACATCATTACAACAGCACAGAATTCATCATACACTACATCAGTGTAAATATTGTGCACAAAACAAGTAGTCTTTACTCCTTTCCCCCAGTAGAATGTAAGATTTTGAGGGATGGGATTGTTTCATTTTTTGCCTGTGCTTCCCCACTGCTTAGCACAGTGCTTCAAATAAATAGTAGTTACATAATTAATTCTTATTAAAATTAGAAGTTTATGTGGCTAAGTGAACTGTGACTACTTGATCATACCTGCGTCTGAACATCATCACCTGTAACAATATTTCCTACAGCCCGTAAAGCAGGAGAAACCACCTTGTAGTCATTATGCCTGCAATTATAAAAAGATTTCATTTTCATGACAATTTATTTAATATGATCCACCCATTAATGTCTTATTATGCTATCTGACCATGGAATTAAGGTGACCTTTGCTCCTGAAAGCTATGTCAGAGTAGTACAGGCTTTGGCAGCCCTTATCAACCTGGAAAAGCTTAAATTACAGCCCCAAAAGATGTGTATGGCATACACATCTTTTGGGCCTGTCTGAGGACTAGTCTAGCACTAAAAGGATCAGAATTTAAAAACACCTTGAAGGACCAAGCTGCATCAATTGCTACTGTGCATATAGCAAAGAAAACAGATGGTAAGATGAAAATTTTTATTTCAAAGAAAAATTATAATTATCTGCTTGTAACTGTATTTAAAATACATTTTCACAGATAAGAGAAATTGTAGTAAAGTTGTTTTGGTGCTAGCTAAGTGGAGAGAGGCTCATCACTAGATGAGTGAACTTTTTTTGGCCCCAGTTCCTTATGAAAACACTAAGGTGTGGAGAGGTTATGATCTGTGTTGGAGGAGAGTGTCATGTCAAACAAGACCACAAATTTTCTGAAGGGGTAGGAATCTACCCCTTTGCCATTTTTCTTAGGGCTCAATTCCCTAAAGCAATACTCACACTAGGGATTAGAGCTAGAAGAGCCCTTTAGGTCACGAGGTAACTCCTGCCACAAGGGCTTCAGTTTCTCTGTTTATAAAATGAGGGAACTGGAGTAGATAATCTCGAAGGGTCAGCTCTAGCTCTACATCCCAGTCTCTTGAATATCTTAATATCTGAAGAACCTATCATTTCTCTCGATAGCCTATTCCAGTGTTTTAATAACTTAAAAGTAACTTGAGTGAAGTTCTTCCTTATAATTAAAAATCTTCATGCTTTAATTTAAATTTATTTTCTCCAATTTAGTCCTCCTGAGACCTGAATAACAGTCCACTCATAAAAACTCTTATGTTTGAAGACAGTAATTGAATCACCTCCTAACATTCTCTTCTTCAGAGAACCCTGATTCTGTGGAATCTTTCATTACTTATTTTCCCATTCACTTAATTATATTTATAACCCTTTTAAAAGGATATAGAAAAACAACAACAGATTATATTGTATTTGAATTCTCTACTATAGAACATAAATGAAAGGCTAGCTTAGTTCTTGTCGTTTGAGCATTATAATATTTGTATGTATGTATGTATGTACGTATGTATGTGTGCAACTGTGTGTGTGTGTGTGTGTGTATAAATACACAATAGCACTGTACTGTCTCACATGCAGCTTGTGGTCGACTATGACTCACAGGTCTTTCTTCTCTGTACCTTTCTCCATTCTACGACTCTATTGTTGTCTTTGTTCTCATCTTGCCCTTATTCCTACTAAATTTCATACTGCCTTGTAGGGCCATTCCTTAATTGTTTAAGTCGAAAGTATTAGCAGCCTCACCTAACCTAGATCATCTATAAATTAAAAAAACACATTTTTCAAATTCAGGTGATCAATAGTAAATAGATCAACAGTAAATAGAAGTGACTTCAATACACTCCTTATGTCTCACATATTATTAAAAGTATCACAAAACACAGATTATGACAGAAATAAGATCTAATATTAGTTATCAATCATAATCAACATCAAAGCACCTAGGCAAATGTAAGAGATTAAACACCAAGTGTGAGATAAAGAAAGTGAATGTTCACTTTTTAGTGGTACCATAGAGGGTGACTTTATCTAGTGAGTTGTCTTTGGTCATCCTGTTAGGATACATAACTACTCAGATGCCATTATTTTCTAACCCTATAGCCTGAAGTCTCAACAAAGCAAGAATAACTAACTGGGTCTAAACAAGGAATAAATACCATTGTGGTGGCTGGGTTATATGGGTAGCATACATGAAATTTATAGTCTTTCCTTCCTCTGTACAAGCAGATTTGGAGGTTGCTTTTGCTTAAAAACTTTCAGTTCAACCATAGTTCTTCATCAACCAATCAAGAATATATAACTGTGGGGAACATAAGCATGCCACTGACACAGGGGATAAGGAGTGAAAAACACTCTCCACTATATAAGTGAGCACCTTCTCTGAAACATCTAGTCTTAAGAGTGTTACCTGGAACATTGAGAGATTAAGTGACTTGCCCATGAACACAGTCATGTATACAGGGTGATCCAAAAGTCTTAGTGTAGTCTTAAGTTTTAGTAAGTTTAAAACTGGACTAAGACTTGAGATACCCACATGTGTAAGAAGTGGGACCCAGGTCTACCTGGCTCCCAGATCACTGACATATGGCCATGAAAATTTAGAACGAATACCTGAAATGACAGCCTGATAATGAAATCATTAGTTACAGAAAAAACTAGGTATCTCTGAATGTATGTTCCACACTGAATTCTTACATGGGGAAAACTGTGGGAAAATATTCTTTTCCTTTTTACTTGATTTTTCCCACATGGGTGGTTGATTCAACAGAACTATCACTTTTGAAAAACAACCACTGCCTGAATCTAGTCTTATAACATTCTTAGGAGGAAAAGATTAAGTACCAGCTGCAGAAGAAAGAGTCTTTAGAGTAAAGAAAAAGCTATAAAATAGTAACAACCTTGAATATCCTGCTTTCTCTGAAAATCAGAATCTTGCAGAGAGCCATGTAAATAAGAACAAATTACGTTAGTGGTGTTGGTTATTTTAAGATGACAGTTGTTGGAAGAATAGGGCATCTTCTGATATCAGCTTATAATTCTCTCCTACCTTCTACTGATCTTCGAAATCTTCAGGAAGGGAAACAGCATGTCAAAGCTGTAAGATCACTGGTGGTGGCTAGAGAGTACATTCCTCCCTCTGTGTTCTTTTGGGGAATGGCATACCCCTGCCTCACTGAATAATTAGCCTGGGTCCATAAAATATTGCCCTAGGGCACAGAAGTAGGTAGCAGTCCTCTTTTTGACCCTACATCCTACTAAAGGCAAAAGATAAGGGCTTAAAGGTTGTAACCAAGAACAACCCAGGGATAGAGCATACATATAAACAAGGCAAACAAGAAGTAATAACACATCTCCCCCCGGAAGTAATAATAATAATACATCAGTACTTGCAACCAAATAAAAAATTCTGATTAGTAATTAGAAGATTAATAGACAGAAACAAAATGATAGATATTAAGTTCTTACATCAGTAGCTCCACTAGTCTCCTACATACTCCTGCATCAATTACTGCTTGAATTTTATCATTGGGTCCATCTGATAGATATGATAGTGCCCAGCATGCGTCGGCTAGCACATCAGTGTCATTAACAAACAGCAACCAAGAGAGTACATTCAGACAGGGGGAAACCTGCAAAAAGAAGATGACCTGAGTTGTGAAAATTCAGTCAAGCTGAAGTGTAAGCCAGAAGCAGGAAAATATTCAAGAAAGCAAACAGGCATGTACCTGATAATCTACTGGGCAAACTGTACCTGTGTAGTCTTAGACTTACAAGAAACAGAAGCTATAGCCTTTTCTCCCTTGAACATGCTGCCTAATATCCTAGCATTGTTTAGTTTGCTTCATGGAAGCAGAAAAACATCATGTAGTGGAGACCCATATACATTGACTTTAGTGACATTTCTAGAAAAGTCAAACTATTTACAGACTCAAAACTTCTGAAAATGCTTCAGTTAGGACTAGAGTTAAGAAACCTTACATTTTGGTTACCCTCCTTACAAAAGAGGAAAACAAAAAACCCAATAATTTCTAAGGTTTCTAATTTAGAAACCTGAAGTAGCAGTTAAATTTACTTAACAAAAACAATAGTCCAGCCAAAGGCAAAGGGGAAGGTCTCAATTTTCCTTACCAATAGGTAACAGTACAAAATATTTTAAAATAATTTTTTAAATGTTGATCACAAAAAAAGGTCACTATTTCTTTCCTCTTTCACATCTGAAATTGGTCTCTGCCTTTTCTCTATGTACTTTTTCTGTAATACTCAATTTTCACAACTATACCTTTGCAAAATCTGGAGATGGATTTTTCCCTCTGCAGAGATTAGACAAGGCCCACACTGCATTCCGAGTCATGGTCAAACGGTTCTGCTTTGAAAGTAGCCTACAGGAACACAAAAAATTAAAATGTAATTCTTCGTCAAGTGGGGGCAGGGAAACTTGCTACTGAGTAATAAATAAGATCCGCTTCTCTACAACAGTAAAATCTCATTAATTGAGACTATATGAATTCAGAATTTTGACCCCCCAATTCAGGGTCAGAGTAGAGTAATAATAACCATCATTACCATCATTATTATAACAACAGTTACTACAACAACTACGACTACTAACTATCACAGAGCACTTTTTAAGGTTTACAAAAACATTTTATATATATTCTCATTTGATCCATAACCCGGTGAAGTAGTTACCACAATCCCCATTTATACAGATGAGGAAATTGAGGCTTAAAGAAGTAAAGTGACCTACCCCTGGTCAAAGAATTAGCACCAAAAGTCGGACATGAATCTAGGCCTCTTCTGCCTCCAAAAACAGTACTCTTTCCACTATCCCATTATGCCTCAACTAGAAAGTAGGAAATCTAAAATTACTTCCAAAGCTACAGTGGATTGTGGGCACATAGAAATGTTTTCCTTCCACCAAAACTTTGAACTCAAGCATAAATGGCAGATACTCACTGCAATAGAGGGGGGAGAATGTTGCAGTCTAACACATAGTCCCTACACATGGTGCTATCTCCAGCGATATTACCAAGAGCCCAGACTGCCTGTGAAAGAAGGATTGGTTAGTCAAAGAGTTTCACTGTAGATTAATTCCATCTTAATAAGAGGTAGATGCTACCATTACCTATTAATGTATCGCTGCTATGTTAGCCACCTATTACATTATATCTAAAAATATATGATGACATTCATTTCATGACTAGCAAGTGAAGGACAGAAGGGCCTGGCGTGCTATGGTCCATGGGGTCACGAAGAGTCGGACACGACTGAACAACAACAACAACAAAGTGGATCTGATGACAAAGATTCACATTTCTAGGGGGAAAGAAGAAGGAAGGAAACAAACAAGAATAGATTGAGCACTTTCTATGTGCCAGGCATTATACCAAGCACTGGGGATACAGATACAAGCAAAGACAGTTCCTGATTCAAGCAGTTTACATTCTGCTGGGGAAAGATAACACACAAAAGGGAAATGAAAAGCAGGAATGGGAGATGGAGGGAGCAATAATAATTATTCTACAGTGTAAATTAGTTGATATTAGTACCATACTGTCAAAGGGTACCATTAAAGAACACATTCCTTATTTCTGTTAATAATGAATAAACTTTTTCAAAAACTATACTTTGTAAGGGATTGAAGTTGTTAAGAAGTGTCTGTTTCATCAAAACAAAGCTATTTAAATTTTGAAAAAATATCTTTTAAAATATGAATTAAGGAGATAGCTAAAATCGATAGTATTCAACGATTTTTATTTCTTGAATTGATCCTATTTGACCATATGGCCTAAAACCTGAAGCAATCTTAATTTTTTTTTGTAAAAGAAAGTATACTTTTAACATGTTTTCTCAAATTCAAAATAGGATACCACTTACCTAGTGTCTCTCTTCCTTCCCTTTTGTCCAAGAGGAAAAAAATATCCCAACATTTAAGGTTAATTCCACATCCTCTTATCCTTGATCCTATCCTTTCTCCTACCTCCCCTCAGAAACTTGATTCGGCATTCATTTCTCTCTTGTGGCATTTTTATTATACATCATCATTTTTATTATACATCACTTTCAAAGCCAAAGTTCTTGGGGAAAAATAGTCTATGCTTCGTATGAAATGATGAAGAACAAAGGAAGCATAACCAGAACTAAAAGAGAAATAATGACATTAGCTAAAAAGCAACTGAACTAAACTTAATACAATGACCAATATTATGATCCTGTAGAACAGATGATGAAATCATCTCGCTAAAAGAGGAATGTTGTTTTAAGTATAATATGTTGCATATGCATAGTTGGTTAGTTTTTATTTAATTGTTTTTCTATTAAAACGGTGGGAGAGTTCAATGGAAGGAGGTGATGGTGGTATAACAGGAAATGTTTGAGATTTTTTAAAAAGGCATCAAATAAAACATTTTCTTTAAAAAAAAAAAAAAGAGGCAATCTAAAGTTCATGCCTTCACTTCTTTACCATTCAACTCTACTCAAGGCCTAGCTTTCTTTCCCCCTCATTCTACTGAAACTTGTTCTAAATCATCAAACCAATTATCAAATCCAAATGAGCTCCCCCACCACTTTTAAACTAATTTTTATTTCTTCTGTCTTCCCATCAGATTAATCTCTAAATATATTCTGTCTCTTCCTACCCAGTGAGTCTTGCAACAATAGTTTAAAAAAAAAGAAAGCAAGCTCAATAAAAACCAACATATCCACTGAATCCAATGGTGACTTTCTATCTTATGTCATCTTTTCCAATTTCTCTTGTGATTAAGTTTTGGGAGCGATCTTTCCCAGGGTTCAATGCCCTTACTTTGGTCATCTTCTCCTCATTTTCCAACTATATCTCTAATTATTCCTTTGCCAGCAACTTGGCCTCCTCTGAACTCTTTAAATGTTCTCTAAGATACTGCCTATAGGGTATCTCTACAACTAATTTACTTTTTCACAAGGACAAGAAACAACAAGTCAAAAAACAAAATTTACTCCTTAGGATTGTACTATTTTTTTCCGAGTCATGTCATTTTCCATTTTTATTAGTGGTACCATCAGTAACCCAGACAACCAGGTTTGAAATCTTTGGTTCATCCCTGTCCAGCACCTCCCACATCCAATCAGTTGTGAAGTACTGCCAAACCTTTCTGTGTCATCTTTCTAGAATCCCTACTCTCTTCTCTTACTGCCACCATTCTAGTAAAGGTCCTTATTTAGCTGAACTACTTACCTTCTTGATTCTCTCTCCTTTCCAATAAATTATACCATTTCCAGATTCAGCATTCTAATACATAGATTTGGTTATTTTGTTCCTCTGCTCAAAATTCTTCAAGGCCTCCAACTGAGCAAAATCAAACCTTCCCAGTAGGAGGACTTGAAGAACATTCAAGACACTTCACCCGACTTAAGGCATTTTCACTGGCTGACTCCTATGTGCCTAGAACTCTTTTTCCTCCTTATCTCTCCCTCCTGGCTTTCTTAAGTCTCAGAAATAAGACTTGCTACAAGAAGCCTTTCCCAGTTATCCTTAATCATAGTGCTTTCCCTGAGACTATCCACAATTCAACCTGCCCATATCTTGCTTGTACATAGTTGTAAGTTGTTTGCATATTGTCTCCCCCATTAGACTGTGAGTTCCTTGAGAGCAGGGACTGTTTTGCCTTTCTTTGTGTCTATGTTGACCTATGCCAAACATTTTTAACTAGGACTGGAATTTAAGAATTCCTCAAAGAACCAATCTATATCTATTAACATAATGTATTCTTTTTATATGTAAGGGAAAGAAAACAGTAGGATGAAAATTTTTTATTTCAAAGTAAAATTATAATATTTTTGCATCAATTAATGCTTTTAGTAATTCGAATTTTTTAAAAGGTCAAATTTTTTTGTAAGTCCAGTTAATTCTATAAAGGTCCTCAATATATAGGTCTATATAATTCTGTATAAGTACTCTGCATAAAATTCTGTATATAATTCTTCATAGGTACTCAATTCTACATAGTATAGTTACTATACAGAAAAACAATGAATATAACAGAATTTTTTTCTGAATTGACCACCAAATAAACAGTGCTATGTTTCATAAAATTTTTCGCTCAAAAAAATTCACGGCATCTACATTCCAGACCTGGAAATAGTTCTGCTGTAGCCGATTGGTCAACATATCATTCACTCCAACTGTACTTTTCTATAGTCTGAGTTTTCATTTCAGATAATATTAGGTTTATAAAACACCCCCCTCTGAGAAACCATGGATTGATGTGGATTTTATGTTTATAAAATTCTATTTAAATAAGGTCGAAGGGAAAATTTATTCCAGTACTAAAGTCCGATGCTTTTTTACTAGACAATTTTAATTCTCTTTTATATTTGTTTGTTTCTTTACCTGCTCCTGCACATCTTCAAATTCTGAGCTGAGCAGCTCTATGAAGATTGGCACAGCTCCTGCTTGAATCACAATTCGAGTCTGAAGGGAATTTCCTGAAGCAATATTTGTCAGCACCCAAGCTGATTCAAACTATGAAAATAAAAATAATTTTTCATTAGTAAAGTTCACAACTTACACAATATGAAGAACACTCAAGAGTTTCTCTACAGAGAAGTGAGAGTAAGATAACATTAACAGTAGTTTTCAGCAGGTTAAGGGTATTACAACAGATAAAATGAAATTCTAAAACTAAGTACTCACAAACTAAAGGAACATTTTATATGGTCTTTCATACCACTTCAATGAGCCACCAACTATAATACTTCTGGGCCATATCATCTGATCTGACACTATGCCATCTGGCCCACCAGGATTTTCTACTCACCCTGATGATGACCCTTCCTATACGTGTCGTCTCCTCCAATTAGAATGTTAGCTCCACGACAGAAAGGACTGTCCTGCTTTTTCATATCCCCCACACTTAGCATAGTCCTTGACATATAGTAAGTGCTTAATAAATGCCTTTTCATTCATGCAACATATAGAATGATTAACTTTAGATTAAGAAGGAGTTGAAGACAAATCAAAAACAAATAAATGAATAAGGACTTTTGGGAGGGGACATCAGCATAAAAGTTTAAAGCAAAGGCGGCAAGAAAAAAACATAAAATGATAACTAGGATAAAGATAAAAATAATAGAAATGACAGAGGAAAAAAAGGATGGCCTTCCAGTAATGAGAAGGTTCTGAAACATAAGGTAGAAGAATTAATAAGTTAAGACAACAGCATATTGGATAAATTATTATAGGAAAAACTCCGGGTCTAGAAGGATTTGCAGAAGAATTCTTTCAAACTTTAAAGAACAATGGCTATACTACATAAATTATTTTCAAAAATTGAGAACACTGGACAAAAATTCTTTTCATGAGACACATATAGTCCTACTATCTAAACCAAGGAAAGACAAGGCAACAAAAGAGAACTAAAGATCATATTAATGAATAGCAATTCAAAATTTTTAAATAAAATCGTGGCAAAAAGATTATAGCTTCTTATCCAAACAAGAATCTACTATGATCAAACTGGATTTATACCAAGCACACAAAGGATAGTTCAACATTAGTAAAACAATTAACATAATTAATTGCATTAAAAACCATACAAAACTACATGATTATCTCAAGATATACAGAAAAGGCCTATGACAAAGTTCAACACATATTTATACTAAAAACCCTACAAATCAGTCACTAAGTATATATTAAGTGCCTACTATGTGGCACGCACTATGCAATATAGACATAAAGGTAAATTTTAAAAATGCATTGATAACAACTAGAACCTAAAGCTAGCATTATATGCAATGGCAAAACAGCTTTCCCAATAAATACAAGAGTAAAGAAATAAGGTCCCTCTTCCCAGCTATTATTTAACATAGTTCTAGAAAAAGAAAATAAAGGCATAAAGACAGGCAAAGAGAAGACAAAACTATCTCTGTGATAACATCAAAGTTTATTTATAAAATACTAAGTCATCTATTATATCTGTATTTTAGCCTGTTTTCACTGAGGGTGATAGGCTACTCCTGCCAGTATCCAACCATTTCATTATTACATTTGTCCATATTTATTCGTGTTTAATCACTTAAAGCCTCCACCATCACTCACTCAATACTTCTAACCTTTGAACAATATGGCTTTCACTCCAACCCTCAGCCCAACCTTGACTGAGCTTGCCTTCTTAGTACTCAATCTTTTAGCCACTTCTTCAGCAGCTGGCAAAGCCAACCACCTCTTCTTATATTAATATTACCTCTTCCCTTGGCTTAAAGGATTACTGGACTCCCATGGTTTTTTTTTTTTTAAGGCAATTGGGGTTAAGTGACTTGCCCAGGGTCACACAGCTAGTAAGTGTAAAGTGTTTGGTCTGAGGCCGGATATGAACTCAGGTCCTCCTGACTTCAGGGCCAGTGCTCTATCCACTGCACACCTAGCTGCCCCGACTCTCATGGTTCTTGCTTCTTCTTAGTTGACTCTTCATTGTTCTACCTCCCTTGTGTTGGCATTCCCTAAACTCTTGTCTTTGGCCCACTTCCTTGCTCTCTCCTTTTTCTCTCCCCTCCCCCAGACTCTTATCCATCCCCACAAACTGACTTTAATACAGATGATTCTTAATCTTTATCTCTGGCCTTTAACTTGTCTCCTGAGCTCCAGGACCAACATTTCCAACTACCTACTGGATCACTCTGCCTGTACATTTTACCGACACTCAAAATCAGTACATTTAGAACCAGTTCCTCATGTTTCCCCCAAATCTGCTTTTCCTTCCAGCTTACTGTTTCTGTTAATAGAAATACTATTATCTCTTTTTAAAAACAACACTTTAGAATTTACAAAGACTTGCCCCTACACAACATTTTATAGAAACAGAAACTGAGGCTCAGGAAGGTGAAATGTCCACGTTCACATAGCTAGTAAGACAATACCATTCTCTCAATCACCCAATTGCCCAGTCACTCTCAATCACTTTAGACCTTTTATCCTTGCTTCTTCTTCCTATCTTGCATACCATATGAAAATCAGTCTCTAAGATCTGTCAATTTGTTCTCTGTGGTATCATAAGGAACTATTTACTTCTCTGTTCCCATTGTCATTGCCCTAGTTTCAGGTCCTCATTTCCTATTAGCTGGTAGATTACTGCAATGATCTCCTAATCAGTCCAATCTACTTTTGCAGGTTTATATTATACCACACTGTGCTATAGCAAACACATTTCATTCTCTAAACTAATCCCAAATTTCCACCTTTGTCTTTACTTGTGCCATCCACCTTTAAAAAGAGACATATATTCTGCTCTACCAGTTGAAATCTTACCCAACATTCAAGCTCAGTTAAGTCCTCCATCCTCCAGAACTTCTCTGATTCCTCTAGCTAAAATTAATTTCTTATGTCCTCTGAACTCTGCTTGTAATTCTTATACACTTACAGCATTATAATATTTGTGGACATATCTTCCTACTAAACCATAAATTCCTTAAGGCAGGGACAACGCTTTATTTTTCTACCTCTTTCAGTGTCCTGCACATCACAGGCACCCAAAAAGTTTAAATTATTCATGTTATTAATTTTAAAAATGTGAACAAAAATTGAGTAATATCTAAAATTCCAAAATTCACCCTTTTTTGCAGTGATAGGCAGAGTAATTAAATCAAGTACTTCTAAAGTTTAAAAGCATTTAAGTATGATGAATGATAAATCTCCAAATGAACAATTTCCTTTAAGAACTCCACTTTAAACAAAGAAATAATTATCTGCAGAAAAAAGTGGCAGCCAAAGTGACTTTTATTATTCTTATTTTCTCTTTTGGTTATTTTTTTCTCTTTATTTCCATAGGGCCCAATCTCAAGCTTTTGCAGTGTTCTAAGTCTGGCACCATGTGGAGGAGAACTAGACAAGCCATCAAGCAGCAGACATTTTTTGTCGATTTCACTTGCCCTAGCTCCATCTCTTATGATGAAGAGGTTATCAAAACCAGCAACAACTGGAGAATTTGTGGGATATTCTTAAGAACTGATGTTTTCTCTTTCTCCTTCTCAGTCTCTACCTTCTAGTGATGGGTTCTTTTAAGAGAGGGAAAATGAGAAATCCAAAAAAGGTGGAGTACTTCTGACCTCCCATCAAGTTTCCCACTCCATGCTGAAGTACGCCTGGTCCCCCTTCTCCATTTGGATCAGGACTCTTGCTGGCCACCTTGCAGGTCTCACTGTTTCCTAGCAAATGCTAGGATCACTGGTCGCCCATTTTACATCAGGCTCACCTAGAGAGCAAGTGAAAAGAGAGGCTCATATCAGAAAAGTAAACCTAGACATCAAACCCTGCAGTGGGCAGTGCCTGAGCTCTGAGCAACCTTCCAACAAAAGCAGAAGGACCAACAGGAAGGGCAAGAAAAGATTTACTGCAGTTTATTGCATTAAGTCAGGAAGAGGGAGGGACAAAGGGAAAAATAAGTCAATTTCATTAAATTCATAATTTAAAGATACAGCACCTCTGTCTTGGGGCTGTAAAATAATTCACTTGTTTTTAGTTGCCTTTATAAAGCAAGCAGGAGGGCATTAAAGCACCTCACTAAAGCAAAGAGATATCATAGCAATGACAGGTCCAAATGGACAGAGCAATTAGAGAGATGAACTCAGGAAACCTAGGATGAGACAGCCCAAATTCCATGGCCATAGCCCAGGGCACCCCCAAGAGAATGCTATATAGTCCCAGTACTACCTGCATTTCCCAAAAGGGGTAGGTTAAATTGTAGTATTATGACCCAGTACACTCAGTCTCCTTCTAAAAAGCTGATGTCCTCAGATAATTGAGCCCTTAGTGCCACTGAACTGGAAAATACTCTTCCATACAGAAAACAATGTCACCAGACCTCCAGATCTCATACCACATTAGTGGTCTAATAGGGAAGATGAAGGAAAGCTACAGACCGGATTCTCTCAGACAACAGACTGGAAATGGACACAGGCTGCAATGTCCAGGGTAAATGTGTCTGTCCCCTGTAACTAACTACTTCCCCTTTAGGGCCTGAGCATTTTACTAACTTTAAAAGCAAGAGTGATTCCTCTTGGTTGGAGCCAAATGGGCAGTGAGGAATACTTCTCTAGCAATGCTGCGTTCCTAATCTCTTGCTCTCCTATCTCTGCCTTGCTCCCTGCCTATGGGGATAGGTTTTATTAACAGTGCTGAAGGTAAAGCAGTAATCAAATTCCCTTCTGAATTTGGTCAGAGTGCAAATGTGGCTCTCTAGCCAAAGGACAGGAGAGTCAAGGACAAGCTGCAACCTAAGGCCTTTTCAAACAGCCAGGAGCATATCAAGCCAGCTGGTATTCTACTCTCCACCAACCCTATCCCCTTCTCCCCACTCCCACCTCCCAAGTATTTTAGAGCTTCTTCCTCACTTGAATAAATGGCAGGGCATGATGGTTCTTAACTTGAAAGTATCCTCACCCCTCCTCCAGATAAACTTTTTTTCCATTCTAAAAATGGTCATGTTTGTCCCCATGTCACACCCTGGAGAGAAAAATTTTGTGCTCTGGACACAAAAAGCAAAAGTGAGTAGAGCTCATCTCTAGTACAACAAACAAGGGCCCTCTCTGGCCCTTTATCACTCCAAAGACAATAAACATTCTTTGGTAGCCAAGATGATAAAATATATACTGGAGATGCTCTTATGGGTGACAGGTTAAAGTTCACCTAATAAGAATTCTCTCTTGCTCCTCAAACTAACAGAGTACTTCATGGATCAAAGGTTGATGTGGGAGGTGAAAATGTCAATGTAACTCTTGCCTATGAACACTCTTCAGCATAAAAATTTTCCCATTCTTGGGGCAGATGCCTTGTTATTCATACACTTGCCTAGTGTATCTAATCTAAGGAAGGAATCTGGGTGCTTACTTAGATGAATAGCACATAGGTTGGATTAAATTTCTGGAGGAATTTTTCTAGGGCTCAAATATCCAGAAGAATCCTAGCTGATGATGTTAGAATGTTACAAGATTATGTGATCTAGCTGGGAGAAATAGCTGATAATAGGATTATGCTATGGTTTTTTTGGCATTTCTAGAGTTTAGACATGGAGTTTGAACTGGGATTGCCTCATTCATTTTCAATTTAGGGCTGTAAAACCTTTATGCTACATTATGGCACCGAGTCTTGAACTTACATATAAAAATTAACTGAACTAAGAATGAATTCAGCAGCTTTCCCCTAGCATTCTTAATTCCTAATATGGGGTAAAGATTTTTTTTTTTTTCCACATGACAATCACGGACAAATCAACTCAGTTTTTCCACTTCCCCTACCTCCCTCATCCAGTTAAAAATATCATACAATAGACTGCAGTAAAGTTCCTTTGATTTCCTTCCCAGAAGGTTGTTTGAAGCTCAGGCTCTGTACTCTGCAGTATTGGTTGTCTGGATTTACTCTTCTGATAAAAGTCTTTTCCTTGCTCTCTAGGTGATCCTGATATACAGATGGCTGATGACCATCCTGGTCTTTGTCAGGGAACAAAATATAATACAGGAATCGTCTAGTAAAACAGTTCTAATCCAAAAGGAGAATGGGGGTTGGGTGAATCTCAAGCTGGAACAGGGAAACTTGATGGAAGGTTGAAGTACTCTACCTTCTCTTGATTTCTTGTTTTTCCTTCTTGAAGTAATTCATCACTGAAACAGAGTAGATGAGAGAACAGAAAGCGGGGGTGGGAAGAGATTAAAAAGAAGAGATATCTTGAACATGTTCTAAAATTTCAAAACCATAGTTCCATGTATATATATGTAATGCTCTGGACAGTGAGAAATATGGAGACCTGCAGCAAGTGCGACTTACATAAATGACTGCCATTTACCAGCTTGTTCCACTCCCCATGTAGCACCAGTCTTAGATCAATGGAGAATCCTGAGACCATGGATTGAATAGTCAAATAATAGAACTTATCAATCATCATGCTTAGTTTAAAAAAAAAACCAGCCCATATACACAATAGTGACAGTAAAATAAATGAAATCTATCATGAACACCACCTTTTGCTCTTTTAGAAACATGTTTAGTATGTTCTTGGTAAACTGAGATCAATATATTTGGCACTTCACTAATTTCTCAAGGTGATCACCAAAAATTCAAAAAGACTGGTTTGAAGATCCACACCAAATTAATTTCTGAAAATGATCAAAAGTAACTCCAAAGGCTACTGGGAGTTGTGGCATTTTGATCCTACTTTTGGTTCTGAATCAATTGGCAATACATAATTATGGTTAAATTTGTCACTCCAAAATAGACTCAACTAAGAATTGGTTCCCTCCTAAGTCTGTTGTTACTTGTAATTAATTTTCTTTTCAGCACCATTGTTCACCTTGGTATTACCTTTGACTTTTACCTCTCTCTCACATGTTGTGACCTATCAGTTACAAGGGTCCTACTGATCTCACAGCCAAAATATTTCTTGTATCCATCCCATCTTTGGTCCTACTCCCACCATCCTAGTATAGGTTCTTATTACCACCTACCTAATCTACTTTAATATGTTATTTACAGATCTTCCTACCTTTACATTTTCCTCCTTCTAATCCCTCTTTCACATCAGTGACAGAATAATCTTTCTTATGCCAAGATTTGTTCAACAATGAAAATTTTTCAGTGGCACCCTACTGCCTATCAATTCTTGCCTAACTGCCAATCAATTGCCTCTGCTTCCAAAATCTGCCACCATCCTATCTTTCCATCCTTAACTCGAGTGATTCTCTTCTATTTCATTTCAGCCCAATTGGACTACTTTCCATCCCCTAAATTTGTGCTATGCTTTTATGCTTCTAGAACTTTGTCCATAATAATGTCTATTCCTAGAATGCCTCTATTCCTTATCTTGTCATACTGTATTTCTTTCCATTTTTTATAACCCAACTCAAATAAAATCTCTTCCAGAAAATCAATTCCTAGTAAATGGTAACAATCACCTTCCTCAGACATCAAGTAATACATTTCAAAAAAATAATTCTAGGGGCAGCTAGGTGGTGCAGCGGATAGAGCACTGGCCCTGAAGTCAGGAGAACCTAAGTTCAAATCCGGCCTCAGACCAAACACTTGACATTTACTAACTGTGTGACCCGGGGCAAATCACTTAACCCCAACTGCCTTAAAAAAATAAATAAATAAAATAAAATAAAAATTCTCATCATGTGATATTGTACATTTTAGCGAGCTGTTAATGTCTTAGCTCCCTACAAGGCTATGTGCTCCTTGGGCTCAGGAGTCACATATTACTTAAACTTTTTATCTCTTCCTAGCTTCTAATACATAGCATATGCTTGATAAACATTTGTTTTTGCTCTCGTATCATGTCTGTACTGGGATATCAAAAGACAACTTCTATGAATCACTCTTCCAGTGGGGAAATAATCCAATATAGAAACCATAGAGTTTGCTGATGTTGCAAATAACATGGTAGTCAGACCAAGAATACTAAGCAGCCACTAGTAACTCATTAACAGTAATTTTAGACTCACTTTTATGTCTGTGACAACTATAAATCCAAGATGAGACACTACAAACATATGTTTCATATGATAATGGTTTCCTCTACTACAAGGGCTTCCTAAGGATTTAGTCTTTTTAGTTAATAATTGTACAAACTGATACACTGTTATCAACTCAAAAGGAAGTTAACTCCAATGACCAAAACTGGGGTGTGAATATTAGCAAAACTACAGTTTTCAGTGTGTCAATGGTGTTCTTTCACTCCAGAGTAACATGCAAAGTGAACAAAAGTCCCATACCTGTAACGTACAATTCTCTTTCCGTTTGAGGAACTCCACAAACCTGGCCACCACTCCTGGTGTGCTGATGACTTCATCAATGGGAGGATTAGGTTCTGTTTCCCCCAGGAAAAAAAAGGGGAAAAAAAGGAAAAAAGTTTAACCTTTAATTTAAAAAATATATATCTATATATATATATATTTAGTAGCTCCAAAGTACTCTGTAATGTTTTTCTTATTCCTTTGTTTTCTCCTTTGTGAGAAAGGTTCACTACTAAATGAAACAGACAAATTCTACACTAGTAATGAAATTTTAGCAAATGAGTTCTGTTCATTTTTGTGAACAGAAATCTAATCTCAAAATCTTAATTACAGAAGAAACATAAAATCTTAGCACTAGAAGGGAACCGAGAGGTCGGTAATCTATTCTAACCCTGTGACTTTATAGGGAATGATGCTATTACTTTTTATTAGGATTAGAGACCACAGATCTAGAGCTAGGAAGGACCTCAGAGGCAATCTAATCTAATCCCTTCATTTCACAGAAGAAGAAGCTGAGGCCCAGGGAGGTTAAGTGATTTGCCCAAGGTCATAAGGCAGTATAAGGCACAGACAGATTTGGGAGCTCTGTCCTTTGATTCTAAAAACAGTAGTTATTCCGCTGCACCAGGCTGTTTTCTGACACTAATACTGAGATTTTATTACATGAGGAAACTGAGGACTGAAGAGGATATGTGACCCTGGGCTTCTCCCTCCCTCTGACTGGAGAGGGTGGACATTGGAGAGTTCCTCCCAGATCCTCTATTTAAGGAGGGTACCCAGGGCAGCCATCTCCTAACTTCTCACCAGCTGCACTCATCAGGACTTCATCATGGTATCCAGAAACTCATCATCCCGCAGGACCACACCAACCTTGAAACTCTAACTTATTTAGTACTCCTTGCCCCAGGACTGCTCCACTCCCCTTGTACTGGAGAGGATGGGGGTCAGGTATCAGAGATCTCCTCCCTGATTTCACTTGTTCTATGATATCGCCTTATAAAAGGTGTAAAGTTCTTTGTGTCACCCACTAATGAAGATTTTCTTTCAGTACTGATGTTGTCTCCTTAATAAAGCATTTATTACCTGCCTTGTCCTGCACTATGTGAGAGTTTAGACTAAATGACTTCTAATGTTCCTTCCAACTCTAAGATTCTACGACTTATGTGAATCAGGGCCATAATCTTATTCAACCCTAGCTGATTATGTGGAACTGACCAACAACATACACTCAAGACCATCAAAACCTTTGACAACTGACTAAATACTTTCAGTTCTAAATTAGTTACTTCAGAGACAAATTAGCAACATTAAAATTGGAAAATGTTTTCCTTTCACATGATCTCTTGTTTTTCATCAAAAAACTGAATAAGGCTAAAATGACAGCCAAGATCTCTCAATTTAAATCTGAGTTGTTAAATGCTACTCCAATCAGTTAAGTGGTCTTTTATGCAGTATGTCTCATGTCAATGAGAAAAAAACATCTTGGTTACATCTATTCTAATCAAAGTGGGAAAAGTAAGACTGTAAGCATGGACTATGAATTATATGTATTTTTTTCTACTGATAAAAGGACAGCTCAAAATATGCTGATCCATAGTAAGGAACGTGCTTTGTGGAAGTCATACTATGGAAATATCTATAAAATATATACTTGTAATAGATTCATAACTTACCTTTTGAAAGTAGTTTTCTAAACTTCTGGGTTGCTGAAAGTTGCTGCTCTGGGTTATTGGAGAATATCATTTCAATCATATCAGAGGTAATGACACCACCCTGGAATAACACACAAAACCCAAATATAATCAAATAATAATTTTCAGAGGAAAACTAAACAAATATCCTAGTATAGGTTCACAAAATAATTTTTAAAGAAAAATGTTAAAGCATAAATAATGCAACAATGGGCAAGCACATGGAGCCAGGTTCAACTTGTGCTTTAAATTAAAACATATACTTAAATAAGAACTAAGTTCAAGTCCTGCCTCTGATGTAGATGAGCTATATGACCTTGGGCAAATCAGTTAACCTCTCAATGTTCTAGGTATCCCTATAATACTATAAGCTATAGAGAAGTTTCTGGCCTTCTGTTGAGATTTTCCTTTATGAATGAAATCACAGGTCTTGTCTCTATCTCTGTCCTTTCATTTAGAAGCTCAAGGAACCTTAATGAAAGATATGCCTTAGGAAGTGACTTATACTAAGAATACTATAGCTAAACTGTAGACATTGCAAAACAACAAAGATGGGGCAGCGAGGCGGCACAGTGGATAGAGCACCGGCCCTGGATTCAGGAGGACCTGAGTTCAAATCCAGCCTCAGACACATAAAACTTACTAGCTGTGTGACCCTGGGCAAGTCACTTAACCCCACTGCCTAGCCAAAAAAAAAAAAAGAAAAGAAAAAAAAGAAAAAAGAAAAACAACAGAAAGAAAACAAGGTAAGTACAAGAAGTCAGGTCAGAACATAAGATGACTTCAGATAAGTTTCCTGCACTTTAATAGTTACGGTAAACAGTATTTTTCAATTCAGTTCTATTACAAAAAAAAAAGATGTGTCTCAGACCCTTCTCTACTCACACTACAACCAACTTACCAGATTGTAACACAAGTATTTGTATCATGTCTCCCCAACAGAATGTGAGCTCCTTGAAGGAAGTGAGTACATATCTTATTCATGTTTATATTTACTAGCACTAAACCCAATACCATGAACATAGTATGTGCTTGATAACTGCTTGCCAGATGAATGGTTATTTGAAAGATTTTTTCTGATGAAATGATGTGAAACATTTATCAAAAGTTCAACTTGAGTTTTATCAGGTTGACATGGATAAAGTCTATGAAGAACATATCACAAAGGTGGTTGTGAAAGTTTCAGGCTTTAGAACTTCCAAATGAACTTTGACATATACAGTGATTGATTATGTACAATAAGAGCCAATCATATGCCCACTCAATTTCTTATGATTTAGGTACCACACATCTGCCTGTAGTTCAAGGAAGTTACCTCTAGATGGTGATCTTTTCTGTGTGGTGGCACAAATGAGCAGCCTATTTAGAATCACACTGAAAATCAATGCTGAGGAAGGCTCTCAAGATCATATTTTTAGAGGTATAACACAAAAGACACTTTGTTGTAGGACAACTCTCAACACTGCATTTTGTTCTACTCAATTAATAAATTTTTTAAACAGTACACAAATGTCAGCAATACAATGATCTAAGACAATTCCAAAGGACTTATGATGAAAAAAATGCTATCCACTTCCAAAGAACGAACTGATGGAGTCTGAATGCAGATCAAACCATACCTTTTTTTTTTTTTACACTTTATTTTTATTGGGTTTTTTGGTCTGTTTTCTTTCACAACATGAAATATAGATATATGTTTTGCACGACTGCACATGTATAACATATCAAACTGCCTGCCTTCTCAATGGGGGAGGACAGGAGAAGAGGAAAGGAGGGAGAGAATTTGGAACTCAAAATTTTTGAAAAATGAATGTTAAAAACTGCTTTTACACGTAATTGAAGGGAGGGAGTAAATATCAACTAGAAAATGGAAGGTTAATGAGCAGGTATCAACAGGCTTGGCTGATTTAATCCTCTACATGGTAGAGCCCGAAGAGCCTACTTCCACAGAGACATGATGACATGAAATGAAAATGCCTTGGAAAGTCTTTCAGTATTCACAGACATTCTGTAACTGGTTCTGGCACGTGATAAAGAGAAGCCTTTTTGACTAGTTGCATAACCATAATGTGGATGCATTCAAAAGGTTACCTACAGCTATAAGTATCTTTGGTTTGACTCCTTCCTGACTGGTACTCTGGTGAAACATAATGCTATGAAGGGAGAGGTGCTTCCAATTTAAGGCCAACACATAGACCAGGAATATGGGTCTCCTGCTCTTTGCCACTTTCTATTCAGAAGTTAGAGATGGCTATGATCCTCATGAGCTTCAAAAGGTCAGAGGCCAAAGCCACCAGGAGGTCCAAAAGTAGAGTTCATACTGGTTTTATCAAAAAAACGATTCCATAACATACACAATTGGGTATGGGAATCTATCTTACCCTACAGGAAAATAAGAGGGGGAAGGGGACAAGAGAGCAGGGGGATGATAGAGGGGAGGGCACATTGGGAAAGGGGGTAATCAGAAGCAAACACTTCTGAGGAGGGACAGGGTCAAAAGAGAGAATAGAATAAATGGGGGGCAGGATAGGATAAAGGAAAATATACTTAGTTTTTCACAACATGACTACTATGGAAGTGTTTTACATGACTACACATGTATAACCTGTATCGAGTTGCTTGCCTTTTCAATGAGGTGGGCGGGGAGGAAGAGAGAAAATTTGTAACCCAAAGTTTTAAAAACACATGTTAAAAAAAAATTGTTTTCACATGCCACTGGGAAATAAGAAATACAGGAAATGGGGTATTGACATATATCCTGCCCTACAGGAAAACAGAAGGGGTAGGGGATAAGAGAAGGGGGGGAGAGATAGAAGGGAGGAAAGATTAGGAGAAGGGGTATACAGATTGCATGCCATCTTGGGGTGGGGGGAGGGATGAGATGGGGAGAAAATTTGGAACTCAAAATCTTGAGGAAGCGAATGTTGAAAACTAAAAATAAATTAATTAAAACATAAAAAAAAAAAAGATTCCATCACTGAGGCTCCAAGGAATAATGTTAATGACCAAGCTCAGTGATAATTGATATGCAGGACTCATCCAGAGGCTATGTCACATTTGGAACTGAACATGATGGGGCAAATGCTATGAAGAAATTAAGTTGGTGACCACTTTCCCCAGGAATCAAAATAGAATGTTTAGGGGACAGTGTGCTCCTCCAGTTATGGGGTGAAAATGGTTGTACTCCTCATCTTGCTATCTCTGTAAATTAAATGCCCCCTAGTAAAAGCTAATTTATGTTAACTGATTAAATGTATTTTTTTTCTGATTAAATGTAAATGAAGCATTAATCACTGGCAGCTAACATGGAGAGGTGGACACACCAGAAATGGAGCCCTGAACCAAAAATGTTAGAGAAAGACATCCCCTACTCCCTCAGGAGAACCAAGGGTATCCTAGAACTCTTAGCAGGAGATATAGTCAGCATTGCTATAAAAGAAAGAGGTCAGAGAATAATTAAGTACATGTGGGGTCTTAATTGAGATGAAATTTTGCCCTTTGCAAGTAATTATTTATAAAGATCCCCTCGAAGAGAAACTTTTCACCCAGGATTTAAATTTTTGTATGTCCTGGCTTCTGGGATCCACTTGAGAAAAACTGTCAATTACCCCCTTCCCATTTCAGGCTGTAATTATACTGTTCTTTTTTTTTCTTCTGGTGTTTGTTTTCCTTACAAGTCAGGTTCCTTTGAGATGATTTTTGTGGACCTTTATTGCTTTCTTAAATGCTTAGGTACTTTAATAACTGTATTAATCTTGTAAGCAATATTAAAAATAAGGTCTTGCATCACTAAAATTCTGGTGCCTTGTTGAGAAATATTTTCTTTTTCTGCTTAAACAGACTTAGATTGCATGTTTGCTTTATTGTGAGAACCTTACATATTGCAAGATCAAGCAAAAGTTTGCCTTGCTTCCTGAAACCCCAAGTAATCTGCTTAATCCCATCCTTGAGAGTTTTCCAAGGTTCTTGTTCTGGGCTCATTTGATTTATAACTGAGCCTGCTTGTTCCGTTCCTCAGTGAGCTTTATTCCAGTAGGAGCAGTATAGAAGTGGCAGGGATCCATTAATGGATATTTCTGATGTCCTCTGGAAAAAAGGACCAAAGGAAATTTGTCTAGATCTTTAAGGGGATCACTTCTGGTAATAGGATCCTTAGAGAGGGACACCTAGAAAATTCTGTCTAGACTCCAACTGGATGGCCTTATGTACTGACAGAATCCTGGAAGAATTCATACCCACGACAGTTAGTTTCTCAGCTGAAGAATTTCCAATCAATTACATAACTATAAAGATGCAGTCTGATGTCAAAAATAGTTTACAAAAGACTATCTGTTCCCTTCTCATGCCATGATCAAGAAAGTTCTTCCTACACATACCAATTATTCTAAAAAAGATTTTGTTGAGATGGGAAACAGAAACATGGGTCAGTAGTTATTGCTGTTCTTGATTGCTTTTTTTGGGTAACAATAATATCCATGATTATTCCAATTGTCTGGTACTGTATCTCCCTCTTTAAAGTATCTTGAGAATCAATCCCTCAAAGCCCTTTAAATTTTTATGTATGATCACAAGGATAGATCTCTCCCTTGTACCATATGGTCCAATTACTTTTCTCATCTTTTTTTAGGTGCCATTTTGGCTTGCCTGGATCCCTAAATTTCTTATAAACATAGCTTTCCCTCTACTGTTTGTTTCATGTTGTTTTTATGAAATGATGCTGCTCATTTATATTATTATAATCAAAATGTAAATGGTTTCTACAACAATTTATTCGGTTTTAAAATTTCCCTTTTATCTTTCTGTTAGACTTACCCAAAAAGTGAGAGAGGAACATTGAAGTCTCCTGTCACTACTGTGTTACTGCCTATATCTCCTTGTAGCTCACTTCATGTTTCCTTTATGAATTTAGATGCAAAGGCATTTGGAGCTTCTAAGTTTAATATTGATACTAGTGTGTGGAGCAGCTAGGTGGCACAGTGGATAGAGCACTAGCCCTGGAGTCAGGAGGACCCGAGTTCAAATCCGGCCTCAGACACTTGACACTTATTAGCTGTGTGACCTTGGGCAAGTCACGTAGCCTCA